AGAAGAATTTTCCCACAAATGATATGAGTTGAGCTGACGTCTTCATTGAATTTTTCATATAGCTTTGCTTTCTTAAAAGTTGTTCTCATTTAGGCACCAGTGAACTGCAGTTTCGACCTCGCCTTGGTCATATCAACACCCTCAGCGGGAGTCGAACCGCGACAGTGCAGGACGGTAGCTTGACAATCCTTCTATCAGTCCTTCATCACCTTAAACGAAATTGGGTGAATACATGTCATACTACTGATCTACTGGTAGTCACGCAAAACAATACTTAATTTAAAAAATAAAGTATAGTAGTCAATTGTTATAGCAAAACATACGTTTGCTTCATCGACAATTCCACCAAAAAAACATATGATATGGCAAAAAGGCCTGGCCTTCCTTGAAAATTCACATTTGCCTTGTGACCCAAAAGGCGCTCGTGGCGGTGGAGCCGAGTGGTCAGCGTGTCAAGCTACCGTTCGACTCCCGCTGAGGGTTTTGACAAGACCGATGCGAGGTCAAAACTGCAGTCCACTACAGCCGGAATGAGAATAACTTTTAGGAAAACAAAGCTATGTAAAAATTCAATGGAAACGTCAGCTCAACTCATATTATTGTGGGAAAATTCTACTTCTGACAGTCCGTCATCACCTTCAACGAAATTGGGTGAATACATTTTATAACAAATTTTTCATTCGAAATCGAAAGTCATGTCACAATTCTTGCATAAGCTTAGTCTGTCTAGGCTGCTCAAAGTGATTTATGCGCTGATATTTGAGTCTTACTCACAATGAAATGATCAAAGCTCAAAGAAACATTTAATTTTAGAAGTTGGTTGACCTCGTTGTCGCAACTTGGTCTTGTGTTCAGCGGGACTATGTAGAACGCACCGAGTCCGAAGTCCTCTGCCAGAGTAGTTGTCTTGATTCCCAGCATCCGACAGTGGACTTGATGCATTCACAAACGTTTTGCCACTCTCCGAACCAAGCTACGAACTCGTCAGCGAGACAAGTGAACTCGATCTTTCTGTACTGGTCTAT